CTGACTCCGTCCGCGTGGAAAAACATATCCGTCCGTGACAGCAGAATACATCCACAAACCCGGAATCCTCTTTCTCTCAGACTGCCTCTACTTTCTTTTTTCCTCCCCTGGATAAACAAACTACAAAGCCAGGACTCCCCTCGCGGAAAGTGGGGGTAACCCGCATATAATCTGCATCATATGGCCAGACCGGGGCTCCGGTTTTCTTCCCAGTGCCATAACACCGCGCAGTATTATGCGCCGCGCTCACGTGACGCAACGTCAACTTAAATCCCTTTTATTTGAGCCCGTGAATCATTAATGGAGGCAGTCATTGCCCCCGAGGAGAAACGGATCAGTTTGGAGGGAGAAAAAAGAGGGGTATGTGACACTGCAATGTATCTGGCAGAGGAGCAAGCCTCTCGCAGGGCAAGCAGCTTCTTTTTTTTTCCACGTGTCGCCCATTCAGGGGTAAAGACTGTTCTGTCAGTTTTAAAGTGCCATATATTTGGTGCCTGTTAGCAGCTGAAAGAGCTAATCCTGCCGTATTATGCTGAGCTTCGAGTGCACAGCAGCCCCGAGCCACACTGTAACGAGAGTGTTTTGCGGAGTAATAATTCGCGTTATGTATGGGGATGGCACCCCCACTTCTAACACACACACCTTACTAAAAATAATTTAAGAGTGGAATAATAATTACTCCTCGCTGGCAGTGAATGTGCTTTTTTTCCTTCTCTGTAACAACACAGTCAGGTTTGAGAGGAGCCTTGCAGAAAACTCAACTCAATATCGCCCCCCAAGTCCTAATTGTCAGACTCGTGCTTTGGCACCACTTAGTCAGCCTCTGGTCCTCCATCAGCAAAGTCTGCACAAATACAAACACGTTACACGTTTACCTGTCCTACATGAAGGAGGCTGAGCGTCTTAGTGGATGTGAGGGCTGCCTGTCAGTCAGCAGAGAGCGGAAAGCGGAGCTGAGGTGACCAAAGCGCGGCTGCTCGACCCCGCTGATCAGTACATGGACCCCCATTAGACCTACATGCACTTACGCGTTTCCTATGAACAGCTGAGTGATGGTTGAAATTACAAGCTGGCGCAAAGGTTAAGGGTTGTGGGGGGATTTTTTAAAATTATCATTCCACCATGTCTGCCTTGATATGAAGCAGTTTCTATATAAATAGTGTACCACCGTGAAATACATCCGCCTTCAAACATTCCAGGTACTGCCAAAAATCCCAGCCTGGAAGAGCTTTTGTACTTCACGGCACCGTTTGGCGCTTGTTTTCCGTCAACACTGAAGCAGCAGCGGGCGTGGAAAAAATTCCACTACAACTATTAATCATTTGGGGCGGACATAGAAAGCATCCCCACTCCCACATCAGCTTTTGTCCTCTCAAACTACAACTTGAGCGGTAAACTTTTAAAAGGCAGGAGCAGAGGAAGAGCCCCTCTTATTAGCTCACCTTCCTCACATTTAACATTTATTTTTTAAAAGAAAAATAAGGATAAGAGTTAAGAGAAAGAAGGCTAAATTTGCACTTTAGGCTTTGGAAGCATGAATGTGAAGAGATGGGCTCTCTTTCCTTTGTTAAAGCAAATGCTAATTTTGTTTAATGTCTTCTGTAGATTTGAAGCTGTCAGCGGATTTATGGCTTGACACGGCCCTGCTCTGGAAGACAACCCCTACGCCAGCTTTTGCCATCGCACCTGAACTTTTCCCTGACCCAGGACAGAGGCATGGAGTCTTGAGTGGAAAGTTATTTGGAGTTCAAAAACAAGGAGAAGTTGGAAATCAAAAGTCCTCAGCTGGTAGCCTACTGATTTCACTTTTTTTCCCCTAACCTACTACTTTCCAGATTTGCATTTAGTTCCGGAGAAGAAGAAGCAGCAGAAGAAAACAAAGCATAATAAAGCAGTTAAAACTTTCTCCTTGAGCCAAAAGTAGCTGATTGATTATGTTTTAAATCTCGGGCTGTTTTCGCATTAAACAACTGTATCAGAGGTATTTACACAAATCAAGGCTCCTTATCACTGTCAGCGAAGAGGAGTTAGAGGCAGAGACCTCTGGATATTAGCCAGACGGCGGTCCATATCTTCCCACAATGTTGACACTGGGAGCTCTTAACAGCCAGGCTTGGGTTACCGACACTCTCAGACCAAGATAACTCTTTCTGCGAGGTTTACACAGCCCAACATCAAGGCTAAAGCAAAATTCAACGCCTGAAGCTGAGGGGAGCCACCTCTGATGAGCCCACACCAACACTGTGGCGGATTAGGACGACTGACATGTTTTTGCATGAGATTGTTGTAATAAAGATATTTTAATTTACATGTTGAACAGACTCCTGGCTTTTTTCTTTTTTTTTTTTTTGGAAATGACCCAGCAAGCTTTAGTTGCAAGTAAATTTTGGAAATAGCCTTATGTCCACAACAACAACAACAATAATAATAATAATAATAATAATAATAATATTGTGTTCACTCTCACTGAACTGTCCATTTATTTCTTACACTTAAGGGTTTAAAGCAATATAATCATAACGCTGTTTAATAATTGCTATCATCATTCCAGATTGCTATTAATATTATTTTACTTTTATTTATTTTTATTGGGATGCGTGGTTTAGTGCATGCAGTTATTTGGAGCTGAACGTTGCCAACATAAATACTGACTGTTTATTTTGGTTCATTAAAATCGTATTGCATAGAAGCGTCTCAGTTGCCACACACACAGAGAGACACAGAAACACACGCAGTAGATTTTACCTCTGCACTTATATGTGTATTACTTATTTTAAAACAGATTTGTGTTCAGTATTTAAAAGCAAAGTTTAGACTGAATGTGACCATCGTAATGCTCTTGTTCTTGTTGTCCATAGGAGGTCCAGTAAGCAGGCTAAATAGTCTACACTTACGTAGCACTTGGTAAACTAAGCGCTTTGCATTGTCTTTGCAATTTGGCACCTAAGCTCCAATGCACGGTGCTAGCCTTCAACTGGAAGCAGTTTGGGATTAGGTGTCTTGCCTAAGGACACCTCGGCACGTGTGGAGGGGTCGGGAGATCGAACTTCTAACACTACGATTAGTAGCCCGTCTGCTCGAATACCTGAGCTACGGCAACCCTGTATGCCAAAGGCGTATATATGTATATTTTCCAAACAATACAAATTTATATGGATCCGATTTTAGAATTGATTTGAGGACCATAGAGAGCAAAACGCGATATTAACAGGAAAGGTTTGTTTGCATTGGAATATGCAGTGACATGCACAAAAAGATCATGGCGCAAACTGCACTTCCGGGATATTGTATGCAAAATTGTGATATCACTGCAAAGCTAAAAAATAAATAAATAAAATAAAATAAGAAGCAACCATGTCTACTCACAAGTCATGCCGGTCTGTGTCCAGCGGACAGAGTTTTGTCAGAGGAGAAGAGATCTGACTCGCACCCTGCGGATCACTTCAAATGAAAATAAGTCAGAATTTCACATCTATTTCTGACCCCGGGGCATTCATTATTCAGCGAGTCACGTGAACGGGCGAATTAAAATTTCAGTACATTGGAAGTGACCTCTATTCGCGACTCAAATGACTTGAAATCTGTAATTTATGCAGAATTGGACTTCTTGGAGTCTGCGCAAAATTGGTGCCAATCAGCCTCAGCGTCATCTCCTGCACAGTTTCCATATCTGAAGCAACTGCTGCACAGTAATGGGGAGCTTCAGGATGTCTGCGGCAACATACAACACATTTTTTTAATTGTGGTAACATTCAATAAGCAATGCATACACGAAAATGTACAACTATCTATTTCTCACTCTGAGGATTAAAAAAGAAAAACACTCCAATCAATTTTGCATTTATTTCATTGCAGACCCATCCTGTGTGCAGTTAGTGGCATAATCAGTGGGCTAAAACCATCAGTGCCAGCATACTAAATAACATCTATCCGTTTCTGCTCATATCTGCTCCCTTTCTTCGTCCACTGACAGGCACGTTTCAGTTATTATTTGCAGGAGAGCTGTCTCATGCCTCCGATTCACACTTACAATCACAGTTTTTGTTTCCGCGCCCTCTTTGGGTATCCCGTAAATGAGAAGAAAAAGCTCTTGGAGTTCTCGGTGCTGATATATGGTCTTAACATTGTGTGTGTCGAAAGGTCAAGGGTCAGAAGAAGTGCTCTAAGCCGGTGATTGGCCAGTGCCGGCCGTGTCCCCCAGCTGAACTCTCTATTGTTTGGATGTAGCAGGTAGTGACCAACACTCACACTCTGGTGCACAGCGCGTAATGGCAAGTAAGAACAATATGTGTTGCCGGATACATTTAACAGTTTTGGTTTGGTCTGATTCCCGTGTCAGTACAGCCTATAAAGCTTTGGAGCTATCAGCTGATACCTGCCTGATATACTCTGTCACAGCTCAGCCTAATCCACGAAAACGCGCACGGCGTTCAGAACACTCAGGAGTAACAAAAAGACATAAGACATGCCTTCACTTTGTCAAAGTTTGTGCATGGCATTGCATTTCTTAGGTTTCACTCTAAAGCGATTTTGCGCATTGGTAATGTGAAAATATCTTTTCGGATCAACCGTGAATGTATTAAAACGGAGGTGCGCAATACTATCAAATGAAACATTTCTGTAAAAAACATTTATCGCAAATATTTTCTTTCTACTCTGGCAAAGTGTTAAAAAGTGCAAGAAAACGCAGCCACAATGTTGCCAACATGTTGCAAGGCAAATTGTTCGGGACTGCAACACAATGTGACCACTTTAAGTACGCATCTCAAATGGCTGGATTTCTTACCAAAAGCTTCAGAGCGCAATAGTCCACACACCGAATAGAAATTCAATGTAAACCAAAATAAACAATGTGAGTTCAAAGTTTTAATTTCTGCAAAAAAAAAATATAAACAAAAATATAAATGAACAAATGAGAATCAGTTTTTAAAAAAATGGCACCTTGAATGTCGTGAAAGTGAAATCCGTATTTGCGGTGACAAAACATCCGAAGCCATGTCAGCCTTATAAGTGAAGCACACATTTATTTCACAAGGACAGATTTATTCTAAACTAGCCTACATCACAACGGCCATTACTGAGACAACATATACAAATATTCACAGTTTAGAACACAGCACAACATGGACGCACTATAGCACAAATAAAACTAGACCATATGACACCAACAAACATAAACTTACTTTGACGAAACGCTTTTCTTATTGTGCCATCATTGTGATTTGTCTATGTACATTAGATGTGAAAGTCACCTGGACTACATTCAACAGTAAACCAACCCACTCGAACACACACATACTACACTGCTATACTCTGACTGATGCCATGCCTCAAAAAAAATTAAAAATTAAAAAATTGAGAAATAAAATGCCGTGTGGTTTTCTAACTGGCATCTATAGAGTCTCGCTAAATATCTTTCAAGTATATTAAAACTTTTCCATGAGCAACAATAAAGAAAAGAAAAGGAAATATCAAAGAGAACATTGAAAAGAAAAAATGAGGTCAAACTTACTTTTTTACCTCACTCACTTTTAACTGCAATTATACATTTCATCCAAGTTTGATGTGCATTATCCTTCTTTCATAATAATAAACAAATATATAAACACTTCAGTTGCCACCGTGGCAATTAAAGGTGAATTTCAAGCTTATATGATGAGGGCGAGGACGACCGGAGAGAGGGGTAAGGGCACAAAGGACGTGACAGGGGCCCAATAGCAGAGGCAAGGTGAAAGAGATAACACCATGTGTGTGTGTAAAATACTGAGAATCGGTCCATCAAATTCCACTTGTGTTATTTGCCATCTCAGTCTGGATTGGGGTTTTCAGGGATGGGGGGTTCGTTCATGCACTATAGACCTGCGGTGCACGGCGTGGGGACAAGCTGCTGGCCTGTTTTGATCTGCTGCTGCTGCTGCTGGGCCCCCGAGGCTGAAGCTGAGGCCGAGCTTGAGGATCGAATCTTAGTGTTGGGAAGCTTGTGCTCCTTTTTCCATTTCATCCTCCGGTTCTGGAACCAGATCTTGACCTGGCGCTCGGACAGGCACATGGTGTGAGCAATCTCCACCCGCCTGCGCCGGGTCAGGTACCGGTTAAAGTGGAACTCCTTCTCCAGCTCCAAAGCCTGCTGGCGGGTGTAGGCAGTGCGGGACCTCTTGGGCACTCCTCCATTGTAACTGGCATTGACTGGGAGGGGGGGGGAAAGCCATAGACAGGGAGGCAAGCAGGTGTTACATGCAGGTTGATTGCGTTTACTCCAAAACCCTTAAATCCGCCACTGGACACATTCTAGCTTCGAAAATCGTGCAAGAATTTGTGGGTTTGGTGGAAATTTGCAGTCGCTTGTTCTACACTCTGTCTTGTTTCAGTTTACGGACATGACCTTAATGTGGAGATGCCGAGTGCACAAGTACTCGCATCCAGGGACAGATCAAGCTTAGGAAATGATTAACAAAAACAGCGGGGCTGAATATTACTTTGGCTCGGCTCCAGTGGTGGAGGTAGTTTGGGTTAAAAAGCAACAAAGGCACATGGCCCCGACAGACGAACACAGGCAATAAAATTTACGAGGGTCCTTAATTACCGACCCTGCTGCTCGATAGTCGTAAATTGCTGTTGTAAGGGCTGCTACTAGTGTTGCCTCAATAGGCTTGCGTGTGTTCCAGTGGTTGTTTCTCAGTGGTTCAGTTATTTAACCGTGATGATAACTCACCGGTGCTAACGTGGACCTTTTTCATCCAAGGATAGACCACCGGCTCCTTGCCCTTCGCTACGCCGGGATAGACTTCAGTGGCGAGGCTGCAGTCTTTGCTGGCGTTTGCGCCACCGTCTGGGGCCGCCGTGAGGCGAGGACCGTGGCTCTGTGGAACCGGTTGCGGTTGCGCGTGATGCCCATCGTTGAAATCGTCGAGTCCGGTGGCGGGGACGTTACCGTAATCGTATCCCGATTCTGTGTAGTTTGACCTCGGATAGGATGGCTCTTCGTGATGGGGGAAACCCGTATCTTTTGGCCGCTCGTAATAATCACCGGGGTTAGGGATGTATCCGCTCTGCTGATATTCGTCGCATGGAGGAAAGGAAGGCTCGATATAGTTGGAGTTTATCAAGTAGGAACTCATGGTCATTAATTTGTGAAGTGCAACAATACTAATTTTTATCGCGCTGTCGTTTTTCTGATCTCCACAAAACCCTCCTACTCCCTGTCAAATGTACAAAGTTGCCTGGTCACGTGTGAAGAGCCACCAATCACGGCGTGTCCTGTGGGCATCATGTAAACAGGAACCAATGGAAAGCATGGCACTGGTACCACCAACACTGCTTGGACTGGCTTACGTTAGTGTTTTCCTTATTAAATCACGGTATATAAAGCAAAACCAATCAACTAACTTGTTTACTGCACGGGACCAAACTTATGCGGGCGAGGCTTCCTGCGTTTAAAACAATCCGCCTCCCCTGAAACAGAAAGTGGATATGAAATTCAAACCCTTAAGGTTTTTTTCGTAAACAAAACGCCATTTCCAACAAACAGGGAAAGAGGTTGTTGGAGTTTTAATCTGTTGCATCCTAATAAAGAGAAACTGCAGTGGGGGTTAAAAAAAGAAAAGAAAAGAAGGCCAGCACAGCAATGCAAACTGTAGTGTTGTGTAATATAACAGCCTTCAAATTACTGACAAAGGCACGGTGAATGCAGAAGCTTTACACCCAGCACTGACGAGCCGCTTCTATGCGAGCATCAAAGCCTGCGCATAAAGCTTGCTTGTCTATAAAAACCTAGAAGATCACACATAAGCTGCAAATTAAAAAAAAAAAAAGCACGGGCTGCTCAAGTTGCACAAATGTGTATAAATGCACGACACCTCCTTTGGCAAGTGCTGTTACATTAAAAACTCGAAATTGCACCTTTCCCCTTATTTGCCAGCACATGGCAATGATCTGAAGCTATTCCTGGTCTGTTTGTTTGATAATATCACGTTGCAAACTTGGTAAGTGTTAATTGCACGCATTCTGTGGCTTAACAGCCTCTGCGCGTTACATGTCAGGGAAAAGCTCGTCCAAACAGCGGACAAACACGTGAAGGCACCTGTCTTGCATTACAGCCAGATGCCAAAATAAAACATTGTGATTTTAAACCTCCACGTACAGTAAGACCTGCCAGCTCCAACTAGTCTGCACAACAAAAATGACTTATATCTGAGCATTTTTCTCTAATTCTGAATAAATTTGGAAGTATTTAAAACCGTTATAAGGAGCAGTTTGCACAGATTTCAGTGCAGTCCCGCGTTGTAACAGTAACAGGTAAAGAAAAGTCCAGTGTGCCCAGTATTACTAAGAAAGCTATAATAATAATAATAATAATAATAATAATAATAATAATAATAATAATAATAATAACAACCACACGATCTGGAATCATAGAACGTAAAGTATAATTTCTTGTTTTTTTCCTGACTGCATGTTAGATGATATAAAAGTCTCTGACCGTTCATCTCGCCGGCAGCCATCACGTCCAGGCCCAGTTTCCTCTCCACGTCCGAGGTGACTTCCACACTTTATCTGTGTTTCTTGAAGATGCAGCAGCTCTTCATAAAGCTGATCCACGCTGTCCACATCAACAAGGCCTCTGCATGGAGAAACCAGAGGCCAAATTTTCGGAAATATTTTAAGCTTTCTTTTCTCCCCCATTTTCTTTATCTTCTTCTTTCTCTCTCTCTCTCTCTCTCGTCCCCCCTCTATTCTATTCGCTCCCCTAAACAGAGATAACTTCTGCCTGACCCCATAGTGACACCGTTTCCATTTTGTTTCTGATTAATCTTGCCCATTGACAGTCTTTGTTAAACAACAAGGCGTGCCCTTTTTCCAAAGAGGCGACATTTTCATATCTGTTAGACGCAGTGACCCGGGGTTCACCCCGGACTTGGACTTCAGTTTTGCGGGCTCTGTTCAGCTTTGGGTAGTTGGGGTGGGGGGAGCACTTAGCGCGGGTCAGCGCCCAGGATGGTCCCCCAAAAGAGTTTTAAATGTGTAAAATTACCTAGAGCTATTTAAGAAGCTCACACGTCCAACTACTACTGCATTGCATGACATAGATCAGAAGATAGAAGTTTGCATTTAAAAGAGGGACCTCAAAACTAAAGAGATCAACTGCAGATCGACTGAAGTAGTATATGTTTTACTTTCTTTTAGGACTTTTTTTCTCAGCTTTTCTCAATAACTAAACTTCTAGATTTTGGATATGCTCTTGCCGAGGACTGAAAACTCGAAGGCCTTTTTTCTCTCTCGAAACAAATTGCCATTCTTTTCTTGTTAGCACACTGTTGCTGCAAGGCAAAGCTGCTACTTTATGAATCTCACAGGCTCTCCTGCACCTAACTCATTGTAAATGGCAGCTGCTGTACTTTACGCCAAAGATCCACTGTATCCGTATGGCCAAGAGACCACCTGAGAGGCAATATGTCAACATAATGTCAACGGGTAAGACGACTTCACATGATATCTAAATTTACAGTCCACTACCATTCTATTATATACATATATATATATATATATATATATATATATATATATATATATATATATATATATATATATATATATATATATATATATATATATATACCTTGTATAAATATGGGCCAGGTCAGATCGGCTATTATCCACTTACTGTAAGTTATTCTTGTGTGAAAAACGACTTCTGATGGACAGTTCATTCTACTTGTTGCTATATGTATTTTTATATTACTCTATGAAAGCCTTTTTGCATATTAAAGTGAATCAAAGTTTTGAGAGCTAACTCTTCATTCATTCACCAGTGGTCATAATGTTAGGCGTAATTGGTGTGTGTGAGTGATATATATATATATATATATATATATATATATATATATATATATATATATATATATATATATATATATATATATATACATACATACATACATACATACATACATACATACATACATGCATACATACATGCATACATACATACATACATACATACATACATACATACATACATACATATATTGTATAGTCCTGCTACTGTATAGTGTCAAAGTATTCAGTGGACAGTAGACTAATGGACAGTATTTGGATTACGTGATACTGACTTACATTGTACACATAATTTTGCATTTAAACTCCATTCTGTTTCAGAAATCTTTCCTTAATTTTATTCTCGGACAAAATAAGCTTTGTACAAGGGCAGGATGCTTTCAGAGCATATTCACGGAACTGAAGGCCTATTTGACCAATAGACATCTTTGCTGACAGTTTACTGTAAATTTAGATTATCAGAGAAGTGCCGTGACAATGGTGACAGATTGCAGATGGCTCTCACAAGGTTTCTTGTCTATATGGAGCTCTAAATGACGATGGAGTAAAAAAATCATTTCTACGTGCACGATGGGATACAGATTCGGGCAAAAAAACACATTTTTGCCTTTATGGAAACATTTGGATATGGGTAAACGCTCATAATAAAATATATCCTTAAGCACAGTGTGCCGTGTGCATAGCGTCCAAAGCCATAGCACAGAAAAAAGAAAGAATTGGTTTTCCAAAATGCAAGGAACAGTCACTAACCTCTGTCTACCGTTGCTAATTTTGATTAGACTTAATCAGAGCTTAAACTATTGGAGGATTAATGGCTAAACGAGCAACTACATATTCCTTATTCCTCTGCGTGAAGGGGGGTTTGCAGTTGGGAGTAGAATTTCAGAACCTGAAAGCCAAGAAATATAATCCACGGACTCACTGCAGCAAAAAATGTTCAAGCAATTACATTTTTAAAGGTTAATTTATTAGACATGCATTTCAAGGAGAGCCACAGCAGCAAGGAATATACAGATAACCAATGTCTAACACTGAGTGTAGATATTTGCATAAAACAAACTGAAGAAATTTTTTAAAAAAAGTTCAGTGCATGTTGTCATTTATGAGAATAAAACGTGTGTACAATCAGCATATGTTGTTTGTGTTTTTAATGCGAACGAATTCGCTGTCTGTCCGTCATTAATGACTTTTTAGTTTTCAATGAAATTATTAAAAAAAGACTTTGAATCAAAGAAATGTGGAACGGAGCTCATCCAATTGTTTTTGGACATTTAAACGCTCCTATCCTTTGCAAGGCGCAGATTTTTTTTAAGTAGATAAGCGACACATAAGCGTAATGTGTTGATTTTCTACCAGTCAGAATACGCAGGCCTGCAATTGTGTAGATTTTCCACTGATGAATTTTAATTCATTTTTAAATATTTGTGCCTTCAAATGTTTATCTTCTTTTCCCCCTCTTTTTAACGTGTTAAAAAGAGGTTCCAGAGAAAACGAAAATGGTGATACATTCAGATTTTGTTAGTTCTTTTAAGAAGAATTGTTTTTTACACTGATTTTATGCTCATGTAATTGATTTATTTATTTATTTAACCTTTTTCTCTGCAATTATTGCTGACTGTGTATAATCAGTATTAAGATTAAAGGAAGAAGCAAGACCTTAATGTATTTTTTAAATTAAAAAATCGACATTTATTGTTATATGTTATTATTCTTGTCAATTGTCGCGTTCCCATTGTGCCCTTACAACTTTCACAAACCGTTCACTATTTGAACTTGCTTAAAATAGCGTTATTTCATTGAATGCCACTAAGTAGACCTTATGAAAAAAACCACTCAAAACTACAATATATTGATACTATATATCTATATATATATTAAGCCGGTCTATTTATGAGGCGCAACATCTGTGCCATTTCAGTTTTTTTAAAGGCTTCTATTCAGTTGATCAGGAAGAGTGGAGCTAAATGTTTTTTAAGGGATCCGGGGGCTCATGTTGGGGGCCGAGGGCCTTCGCATTACCCTGTGACCGGGTCGAGAGTATCAATCCTCAAAATGCTAATTTTGCCCTCGTCCCCAAACATATCAAATGCAATTTATTCAAAGGAAATTCACCAATCAGCCGCCCTAATAAAACGCCAACCACTCAATCTTGTTGCTGGGGACGGGTGGGGGGTCTCCTCCCCCGGTTTCAAACGCGAGGTCACTGCGCATCCAGGGTTCACCTGGAGTGCACCATGCAACATATGTAATGCAAAGCTATTCTGTCTTTTGTGTGGAGAGTCAAGATCGCTATTATAAGGCTGGCATCAGGCTCCGAGTGAACAGATGACGGAGAGTTGTTCAGCGCGTAAACTTTTGACCCCAATTTTTCCTCCTCTTCTGCAGCTATCTCGCTCTCATCAGCCCCAGCCCAGTGAGATACCCCCCCCCCCCCCCCCCCGCCCCCGCGCATCACTCCATACCGTTTGAAACGAAAAAGCTGATTTTAACAATGTCTACATTTCATGCCATCACAATGATCATTGTCAAAAAAATTTATAAGCAGCAAAGATGCCATCACAAGATCTAAAATGCAATTGTAGCTTTGTGATGTTCCCAAAGACGTAAGATAAATCCGGCGGGCTCCCACTCAAGACTAATAGGGCCGTAAAATATGCAAATCACTCATTAGTGTTAGAGCAACCACAGCAGCCAAAAGTCTTTGTTGAAGGCAACACTGCAAGTTTTCCTCCCACTATTCTTGCGCAGTCTTTTCCTCTCGTGCAGGATATTACCACAGGCTCTCCATCCTTTGGTAATTTCATTTTTACGCATTATGCTTATAGGCAACGCCAAGCAAACGTGTCATTAACGTGAGTGTGTGCATGTGCGCGCTACCGCGGATGTGCCACTGTGGGTTTTTCCTCTCTCTATGCAGCAGGGTGACAGTGAACTTGGCCTAAAGCGAGCTCTGCTGGTGGCTCAGAGAGGATGCAGATTTATCTTGGTGCTGTGGCTGACCTCCAGATGAACCTGCTGCGCTCCCCTCTTTCTCTCTCTCTCTCTCTTTCTCTGCCTGGCAGTATGCCGCACATGGGGCCCTGTCGAAGTATCTCCTTTTGAAATATTGGCAAGGATTTTAATTTCCAAACAGCCTTCCTCCACCCCGTCCTGCTTTATTTTCAATATGTCTCAAATCAAACTGGAAAAAGTATAAATTTGTGTTTCTGTTAGGCTGGCGTTTACTTTACACACGCGTGCAAAAAACTCGCAAAGCACTGCTTCAAGGATTGGGAGAACAAAATGCAAATGCCGAATTTTTGGATTTCTTGATGATAATGATGAGAAGAAATCAAAACGATTTAAGCAATTCAAGACACTTTTTAAAGGTGCCAAGATTTTAAATACCTACCAGCATTGGTGAACATATACTAAAGTATAAACGATTTGAAGTCATTTGACGATATAAATATTTGTTTTCGTGTCATAAGGTTCAGAACTCACCGATGAATAAAAAACATGATGAAGGCCTCTGCACAAAAACAGAGAAACTTTGATATTTAAATTATTCAGACTGGCGGACAGCATGACCTTTGAAAACCCGCTGAATCAACAAATTCACCAAAGTTCATTCAGACATTCAGCAAGTTTTTTGGCTGGCAAAACATGATAAGACTTATAAAATCAAAATATTTTCAGTTTTATTCGATTTCGTGCGTATTTGCACCGGAAGTTTCAACGAAGAGAAGGCGCAGTAACACATCCTGTAGTGCGGGATAGAAAAAAAAATGAATTAAATGAAAAAAAAACAATATACAGTTTACACTTTCATTTTCAGATCATGTTTCTGTGAATCTGTGTCCACTAGTGACCCGTTTGGCCCCGACTCTGCTCGGACAAAAGATCACCACAAAGCGAGAGTGACTTTTAAGAGGTCATCTGAACTTTTCAACCAACTTGGTTGACACAAAACGGAATTCCTTTTAAACGTGTCCCTGCTGTTGTTTCTTCCCTTGTTGTGTTTACTTGACAGTTTACAGCCTGCCCTAAAGCCAAATACCGTGCCAACATGTGGCGCGCATGCAGCGCTCAGCATAACAACTGCAACTTTTGTTTTAGCGATGGACCCACAAGTTTCAGAAGTCATCAGCACATACAGAATCCAATCAAGCGAGCTGTAAATCTGTAGGCCTGCATTAACCCTTAACTTTATCAAGGAAATCTACACGCTCCACGAGCCCCCTGGAAACTTTCTGGCGCACACTCTGTGACTTCTCCAATGTAATAAAACGACAACAAGTTGAAGTTTGTGGGGGTGGAAATGGACACAGATAATTATCCAAGATGTAAAAATGGATTATGAGTTACACCACAGATGGAGGGAAACAAGTTACACAGGGAAGGAAGCAATTAAATAGCCATGAGCTGGACCCAACCCTGCGCAACATCTGCCGAGACCAGTATTCAGCACTCCACAACTGACAAATTAGTGTAATGGACTAATAGGGACGAATAGAGGGAGCGAATACAATAATAAGGCTGTTTAACACAGACTGGCTGTTCTCAAGCTACCGTCTAGTCTGGTGAAACTTACCCACAGACGCGGTCCCCATCCTGGAGAACGTCCGGTCCATACTGAGGCAAGACTGAGCAATAGAGCTGGTCTGTACCGGTCAAGTAACACTTACAGCCTGCAAAGAGAGAGTCAGACGAAGCCTCGCCGTCAGTGCGATTATATGTTATGTGCAATATACTGTCAACTCCCCAAAACCATAAAACTTACTTTAATGGCTACCACGTGACCGTTTATGGCCAGTGAGCCTATCTGGCCGCTCTCCGGATGATTTTTACGATCGAATTCATAGACAAACCCCCCATTCATTTAGCACCCAAATGTCAGAGAACCAGAAACGGCCCTAATAAAGTTTACAGCAAGAAAAGTCGAGCTAATTCTCTGGGAATAGCTCGGGAGTCTGTGCGCAAAGAGGGGACCCACGGCCCCTGAAGTCAGTTAAGGACCCCAGCGCCTGAGCAAGGTGAGTAAAACTGGATGCTTTAATACGAGAGGACCTGTTGAATTCAAAGAGATTTGAGGAAACTTTGCCAGCTTGGTTTTTTCCTGAGAGCTCATACAAGTGGCTTTAAGATTTTTAGATCAACCAGCAAAACTCCCCAAATCTTCTCCGCCATAAAACAGCAGCCCTGAATCTGAAAGATTTGACAAAAACGTACACTCAGTGAGGTGTTGCCATTCCAGTACAAAGTTTATTATTCTGGCCATCATCGTCGTCATCATGAACATCATTATTATTATCATACTATAGTTTGACTTCCAGTCTTTTGAAAAACATTTACAAAAAAAAAAAGCTTATCACGATGGAGATAATACACATTGCGATAAGATTTACGGTGGGACCCTAAAAACAGCTAAAACACGCTTTTACTCGGATATTGCGCCCAGATGAAGAAGGCAAAAAGAAAAAAATATAATAATAAAATAATAAGGAAAGAAGGAGAATAAAAGCAGCTCCTGCAAAAAAAAAAAAGAAAAAAAAAGAAAAGAAAAGAAAAGAAAAGAAAAGAAAGATACAAGGCACAGCTAATGTACATACAAGGGTGAGTCGGCACCTTTGTCCACGTGTGTTCACAACACATACAATAACCACACAAGGCTTTTACTGCTGGTTCTACTTTTGGAAGCAAGTTATCTGACAACTCGGTACAATACACCAAACAAATAAATACATACATATACAGTACATACAGAGAAAAGAAAGGTCAAACACAAATGTAGCTCAACCTGAACCTTCTACTTATTAAGCTGTTATTGTTGAGTGCATCACACAGAAAATATGGATTTATTTGCGCTAGGCGGGTAGCATTTCAAGCTTTTATTTATTTAACTTTTTTTCCGTCTGAACAAGAAATAATTTAAGCAAACATTTATTTTCATGTCTCTTTTTTTCATTTTCTAAATCTAGACAGAACTGTACATAATGCATTTTACTCACATAAGCATAACCACGGTAGGGATAAAAATGAAATTATATTGTTGGACATAAAGAAGGTTTATAGATAGGGTGACCCACTCCTCTGTCCCTTCTCTCACACAGCCCGCTAAGTCTCTGCGCTTTTTTTGGAATAGGAGGAGAAGTTGATATGACAATCTTTGTTTTGTTTTTTTGTTTGTTTTTTGAAGTGCTCTTTTTTTCAGGATTAAAAGGTGTAAAAATCAGGGCCTATAGGCTCCTCCGCCTGCAGCCGCCATGCTCATGCTTTTCAGTTTGTTGTCCTTCTTCCACTTCATCCTTCGGTTCTGAAACCAGATTTTGATCTGTCTCTCTGAGAGGCAGAGGGCATGGGCTATCTCGATCCTCCGCCTGCGGGTCAGGTACCGGTTGAAGTGGAACTCCTTCTCCAGCTCGAGGGTCTGGTACCGAGTGTATGCAGTTCTGGCCCGCTTCCCCTCTGGCCCAGACAAATCTTGTACACACACACAAAAAGAGAAAACAGATCAGACGCAGAAGAATTAAATAATAATTTTACTTTTGCGCCAACTTTCCTGAACACGTTTCTTTCAATTTTACAATACTGTGTTTGGTAATATTATAGGTATGAATGTCTTAATCGCTGCCACACGACTGGCACCTTGTAGAGCTTGAATGGTTAAAACTTACAAGTAACAAGGTACCACACACTTTTACTACTGAGTCCATAGAAAGAGGGTTAATAGCAAAAAATATTTGAAGTATCCTCTTTTTATTTAAAGCCATTTTAAAACGCACATTTAGTAAATATCAAGTGTAGAAAAGGGTCAGATACATTTAACTAGTCTAACCTCGCATCTGTTGCTACACTATCCCGTACCTGATAGTCTAGCTAACCAAATATAAACCAAACAGGTGAGAGGTGCACATAGCGCCACATGCCCCTTTTCCAAAACTACGTTTATTTGTGCTCTTTCTATCACTTTAACGCCAGAATGGCCAAAATTTGGCTTGTGCTCATAAAATGTCCTAAATAAGATGATACCACGTCCCTTTTCTTTCTTTCTTTCTGTCTTTCTTTTAAACAAACAGTCAGACAACAGCTTTTTGTTTTTTGCAAAAGATCAAAATCAGTACGAAGTCATTAAACAAAGCAGTTTACCGTGACTTATGTGTAGTTTTCTCATCCACGGGTATATCTGAGGCTGTGTTGAGTCGGTTACATTTTGAGGAGTTGTCGGTGCACTTCCCGCGGGCTTCTCTTCCTCCAGAGGGGAAGCTTTGGACACACAGTCCCGGCTGAGCAGCAGCGTGGCTCCATTCGAGTTTGAGCACGGGGTTGAGCACGGGGTCGTTATGGAGTTTTTCACAGCTCTGTGCTGAGACTGTGTCTCGGTCACTGGGGACGAGCTGGCGACCGAGGAGCACGGTAGAGAGTCAGGTGGAGGCGATAAAGACGAGTTCCCGGTGCTGTTTGCGGACTGGTTGTACCTGACAGGCTCCACCGCGGGTGTTGTCGCCGCTGAGTGACTCGGGGAGTAGCCCGGTGTCCGCTCGCTTCCCACAAAGTGTCCGGTACTGGTCCGGCCGACTGTTAGGTCCATCCCGTTGTAGCCGTAGCCATACCTGCTGGAATGCATGGCTGTTGAGTCTCTATATTGCTCGTTTGCCGTACTGTGGTCTCCATAATTATGTAACTGGAAGTCCGCGCCATTGGGATAGCGACCGCAGAATGAGTTCACAAAATAGGAGCTCATTTGTTGACAGTTCCACCGTTTGCTTGTTGTAGGTATTGCTCTTGTTTTTTATGGTTATTTTTAGAGGTAAAATAGCATAACCTGTGTTCTTGATTTGTGGCTCTTATGCTTTAGCGCGTCCTATAGCACCCTTGCACAATTTATGATGAATTATGGAAATGAGTGGGACATGGACTTGATTCTCTCTTACGTAGGCACCCAAATATGGGGTATGGCGAAGAATCACGTGCTTTTGTTGACCAGTCGTAAATCCTCCTCGGTGACCTCCAGAGGTAAACTCGTGCACGCAGGAAATACTGGGTGGGATATAAAGGGTGCGCGCTTTCCCTGCGCTCGTGGCTAGGGCAAACTCTGAGCCGGGGCTTTGGGTGTTTTGGATTGTCGTGGTGCGCCATCCTCTGGTTCAACAGTTGCACTGCGTGTCTGCGGCGCTTTCCGAGGCGTGGGCTGCACACGGGGTCATTCGGAGGTTAACGACCATTGCGGCAAAAAAAAAAAAGCTCCTGAACAATACAACAAGTGACATGCTGAGAGTGCAATCTCGGCGGTGATAGTGTACAGAAATAATTCGATCAGAATCCGTTATGCATGTTATGATGGGCTATGAGTGTAAACAGTCTGCGCACTTAATAGAATAAAAGCCCATTCGCAACAGAGCTGCGTTTTCTCTCATATGATATAGCCCTATCGTGAAATATTTGAACGACTTCAAGAGCAAAAAAAAAAGACTAATGAATAAATGTTTGGGGGAAGAATAAAAGCTAAACATCACTTTATCGAATAAAGCCACAGAATGTGCTATCCGAGGCCTGATTTTTACGCCACTTTGAAAAATTAATAACTATAAATATGGGCTTTATATGAACACACGAATGTCGTTTATAAGCAGGTTAAAATATATAACTATGGGCCTCCATGGAACAGATGCTCAGATGATAGCTATTACAATCCTTTTGCGCCAAACCCGATGTTATTTTGCTCTTATTTAACGGCGACTCCTCTGCTATATTGACCTTTAAACAGTCAATCATGCCAAGCTGCAGTTTCTCGTGTTTTTATTTGTTTACATATAAGCTAAAGATTGATTATTTCTTCTTTTTTATAACATGAGAAACTACAAAGCCCGGGGCTTTGCTAAGTATGACTTTTGAATTTAATGAAATTAGTGGAGGGGTGGAAAAAATAGACTTTATTGCAAAAATGACACGGTGAAAGGATTTGCTGCTTAGGAGTGAATTTGATGCTTTTTAAGTCCTCGAAATGTAGAATACTCAATCAAACTTTAACATTATTTTGCGAGTGTGGTGAAAGCTGAACTGCATATTTATATTTTTAGGGGTTAATACAAAAAGCACATACGTATTTACGATGACAGAGAAAAGGCGATCTTGAGATTTTCTCGTCATTTGTGCCACTGTGATCATTAAAAAAATTCCCAAAACAATTTCTCAACACAACTCTGCAATCGATCAGTTAAACCGTCAAAAATATTATTGATAATAAACAATAATGTTATTTTTAGATATGTTAGAAGCTATTCCCTGCAGCAGTTATGTATCATTGCTTAATAAACCCCAGCCGATTCACCATTTGAAAACGGTTCGTCAGCTTTGGACTTTCTTTCAAATTAATTCACGAAGGAAATCACAAATTTTAAAAGAAGCGTAGCAGGCATGGCGCAGTCAGGCGCTTCCCGTTTGTTTTACTCCCTGTGGAATTTTTATGGCACCTTCGCCTCTCAAAGGCAGTGACTTGTCCTAAGGTTTCCTCCACATGCCGTTTCCCCGGAGCAGAGCGTTTGACCAGCACAAGCCCATTCCTGTGTTAGGATTGACAGGAACAGTGAGATGGATTTATTCAGTCCCAGGTATGTGTGTGGGAGAGAGAGTGCGTTAACACACTCCCAGAAGGCACGACTTTAGGAAGGGTGAATACCGGGCTCCTACACACCCAGTGTGGGCCCACAAGGAGAGGAGCGCTATGCGCGGAGTTTGTGTTGGTTAAACAGTCGAGCAACAACAGCTGATTTATGGTTGGCCAATGGCAACAAAGTTCCCACGAAAATTACTTCTCTGAGTTGAGCCAGGGACACACCCAGGAACTAAAACACAGGCATCGAAAAGAAAGGAGAGCAACGGAGTGAGTGCGCGCTGGTGTCTGACTTGTCGGGTTGAGAGAGGGGTGAAGGGGGTACGATGGTCACTGGTGAAGGGAGGGGGCGGTGCTATCCGACTTTGCAGACACACACACGCACTCGTAGTAGCTTTTGAGAAAACATTTAAAATCACTTTCTTTTTCGTGGCCTATAATCCACGTGTTACCCCAAGAAATTACGGTAGTTCAAGCAAAAAAAAAAAAAAATCGAAAGGAAAGTAAAATCATACTCTTTATGCAGAAATGACTTACAACAGGGAGATTTATCACTGCATTTGATGCATTTAAATCACCCTGTTAGGACTGATTGGGGGATACATTGCATGCTTTTTTTGCATCGATGCATTTTATTAAATATTAATTGCAGTCTAGCAACATACATGACTCTCTGATTTTACTTTCGGCAATACCGCTAACAAGAGCATCTATGCAAAGAAACATTTTGCAATTAAAATATCTGATCATTTAAAAAAGCATTTTTAAGTTTAATAACGTTTAGTGGTTGTCATCCTGTTCATTAATTCCATGCACATCACGCTGAGGCCTACATGCACACATACAAGGCAATAGAATAAAACACGTGGATGCACAGATGTCGACCTTTCTCATTTGCAGCAAAAAAAACAAAACAAACCACGACGAGCTGCAAGCGCGATAGCCCCACTGCCTCCACAGGAGGGCGTCAAAGAGCGCTTACTTTGCCCATCATCCACCCACCCGAAAGCACATCCCCATTTAAATCCAACAACAAATACAATCCAGACAGCCTACAACAACACTAAGATCACTGCAAAAATGAATAACCATGTTAAAATATTAGTAACGATAATAATTATCATCATCAAATAAGAGCTTGTAAATCTGATAAATCAGATTTAACACGAAGCATCAGTGATGGGAATCCTGATGAAGATCAAGTGTAACACGAAACCATTTCTTTCCAAGATTTCAGTCTCTAACCAAAATCAAAGCAGGCGAAACCATAAAGTAAGTTGCTTGCTTTAAGAAGATGCAAATAAGTACATTGTCAACCACATGCACTGGCTGACGAGCGTAAGCTGCCTTACCTTGAGAAGGTCTCTGCATGTAAACACAGGGGGGGTGACTGGAGGGAGTGGGCAGGTGCAGTGACAGAGAAAAGTCTCCCGGCTGAGACCCCTTACTTGTTTCTCCATGGGGGTCGGTTCCTTCGTCTCATTTTTCCGTTACCTAGGCACCCAAATGATCCAGGCATGTCTTACTATAAGCTCCTTGCTCGTCGAGGTTCTGCCTAACATCTCACCCCCGACCCCTTAAAAAAATCCCCAAAAGCAGATGTGAGAGATGGTAAAATGTCGAAGGTCGACTGTGAAAAGGTTCCCGTGGAAGTCCGAGACCGTTAAACGAAAGGCTCCTCTATCCCGCAATTGAAAATTAAATATAAAAAAAACGGGGCGAAAAAAAAAGTTCATGTTCATGGCTCCCCGCCACGTGACAAGCTGCGGCCAATAGGAACCCGGGCCGCGTCGTAAACTTGTATGGCTATGTTGTAAATTTTCATAAACAACAACGGATTTATGGCCCAGAGCTGGAGGGAGAGGGACGAGGGGAGAGAAAGAGACAGAAAAAGGAGGGAGGGAGGAGGGCAGGTCAGCGTCAGGCGCCATCTTACCCAGCGAGGAGGGAAAGCAGAGTTCAACAGTAATTTCCCTTCATCTGCAGCCTGTCCCATCTCGCATCCTCATAGCTCACATTCCCCAACTTCACTGTTTACCTAACCCCCATTATGGACTGTAACATGTCTCATTACATGCAACCCAATACTGGTCACACTGAAGGTCACATAATGGTAACTGTGAACACAATATTACTCGACCCAGGGCGCGATTACAATCCTTTTCTTGGATGGATATTTTTAATAACACGGTAAATATGGAATGAAGCCAAATAGAGAGGGTAAAATCATTTTTATTAAATGATTGCGCGTTCACTTCATTTACAGGACAGACTACAAGCCTAGCAGACTTTGATTGAAAGCCAGCAGCATTTGCTCACTGTACTGGAATATTTCTCTGATTATAAAATGATGGATATTGCCAGCTGGATAACGGTACATGTATTTAAAAGACTAATCTGTAAAGCTAGATATCCACAGTAGCCTACGGCACAATCGCTGACGGTATAGTGAGCGGGTGAGGAATCTGAGGTAGGTTACATGCAAAACTAAACAAATATTTGCGTCGATAGTTAAATCCTCACCCCTAGCAGGCGGATTAAAATCCATGTTAATTAAAAGGGGGGAGGGAGAAGAAGAAACTCAGGAATTCTTTTATCAAAATCAGTCAAATAAAACATTTGCCTTTACCGGTTCAAAATAAGGCACATCAATTGTATGGTAGAAAACAGGAAACCATCAATTAAATCACCAGCTCAGTTCGTGTTTACATTTCCGTGTCAGTTTTTGAAAATTATAAGGTAAATACTAGGTCGTTTTTTGCTGAAGGAATGTTAACTCAGTAGTAGTTTTCTGTAGTCCAAAATGTGCCATATTTGTAGTACTCCTATGGGATATATGCGGAGGATATAAAAATACAGGCTATTTAGGGTAGGTAGTTAGTATTTGTCACGTGAAGCATTTTTAGTGCTGGTTTAAATATGAAATCCAGAAGAGCAGTGTAGTGTTTTAATGTGGATTACTGTCAAAAGATTAATAAGACTTAGTGCCTAAATGTTATGTCAGAAGTTATATTCGATGCATACCAACACAATATTTAACACATTATATTTCTTTATTTTGATTTTCTGTCCGTCTCTTCTGTTACTTTTCAGTTGTTCCTGAGTCAACACGGCCGCTTTGGGTCTCTTCACTTTTGGGTTCCCTGCCTTCCGACGGTGCCTGACTATCACGGTGCTGTTCCTCGTTGCTCGGCTCGTCCTTGTGGTCCTTCTTCCACTTCATCCTGCGGTTCTGAAACCAGATTTTGATCTGTCTCTCTGAGAGGCAGAGGGCATGGGCTATCTCGATCCTGCGTCTGCGGGTCAGGTAGCGGTTAAAGTGGAACTCCTTCTCCAGCTCCAGCGTCTGGTGTCGGGAGTAGGTCTGCCGTCCTCGCTTTCGATTTGGATCTGTGGAAGATGAGATGCGTGAACAGAAATAATGTTATTGTAATGTGGGACTGTATTTGTATTTTTTTAATTAAAGTGTACTTAAAATTGGATCTTACAATAAAAACCAGCAGATTTAAATGTCTATAATTCATTTGTAAGTGCATATTTAATTGCAGCCTGTAATTACTCAATTACCACCTGCACACACGCATTCGCTAACACAACTTTTTTTTTAAAGCATCTTTGCAACAATTTAAAGTGGCCCTGCTGGGGTGTTTGGTTCATGCCTCCTTTGATACTCTGCATGCCTTTCCAATTAAAAGCCAGCCAGGCTCTACACACCGAAGAAACTACTTACAGCTCCCACTTCAAAAAATATTACTATGTTTCATTTTCATCTGACTTCCCCGTGTAGCGGCCAGTAGTGGCGCATATTGATCCAGGTTTCTGAAAATACCAGAGCCTCTGCAATGCAGAACCAATTAGAAAGGGGCTGCAGAGTGCAGGAGAGCTGATTTACACAACAGGCCGGTCTTTTTTTACAACCACAAAGGGGAGAAGAGGCTGTAAGAGTAATAGGAGTGCAGAGAAAACCCCCAGCGGCAAGGTCTCTGCGTACTGAACACACGCAAGCGCTGGCCAAATGAATTTATGGCTGCAGAACTCATTAGTTGCGCAATAAAAGTTTTACGATTCTTTCCATGCAACACCAATGGCTTCACGAAATTAATTGAACCACTAACGGCCAGTCTAAGTATCACAATGTTTTGTAAGCGCACTGACCCGGGGGCTTTGAAACAGCACATACCTGATACTTGCATCCAGGGGTACATCCGGTGTTGTTTGTCCGGCGACGAGGTTAGGGGTTCAGTCCCAGGGTGACAGCAGCTGTCGCTGAACAGGCGGCTCTGGTCAAACGGGCTGCAGTTTGACGAGTGTGCGTCCTGCCCCTGGCCATAGCCGCAGGTAAACACAGTATGGCTCTGGTACACTGTATTATTAACGCTGTAAACTCCAGAGAGGGATGGCGCAAATGCAATGGCCGCAGCAGTCCGAGTAGAGCTATGGTCGTCCCCACGGGGTCCGATGCCGCAAGAAGCTCGTTCCACGTTTGGGAACAGGGAACTGCCCGTCGTAGATTTGCTAAGAAGACCATCCACATAATAAGAACTCATATTTTTTTCTCTCTGATTTGTTGGCCCAGAATCCTCAGTGTCGTTTTTACGAGGTAGTGTGATAGATGACAGCAATACACCCTAGATTTACACCAAACCCCATTTTTACTCTGGACCAAAGAACTCACCCATGTGACCCCGGCCTGGTCGCTCTCGTCCAATCAGCAGAGACGTGGTTTTATTATGGCACAAGACTGCGGAGTAGGATTAACACTTCAGACACATAAACACGCACACAGATATAAACACACATGCAAGAAATTCACACGGTCCCGATAAGCCGAGGGTAACTGGCTGAATTTAATTCTCATGGGTTAGTTTCGCCATATCATCACTAATCATCATTTTATAAGCTTTCTGCTTCCTATTTCAAGTACCTCAGTGAATCTATCTATCTATCTATCTATCTATCTATCTATCTATCTATCTATCTATCTATCTATCTATCTATCTATCTATCTATCTATCTAGTAGTACTTAAAGAAATATTTCTAAAAGTATAGTATACTTATAGAAATAGTTTTTGATTATCTACCACATAAAAACATCTGTATATTTTCTTTTGATCTTACAAAATGGCTCGTGCCATTAAAACATATTTTCACAAGTTAGTTTTCATTATATTTGTCTATCCGTGCAATATAACCGGTTATTATTATTATTATCGTTGTTGTTGCTGTTGTTTTGTTATTGTTGGTAAAATTAGATTATATTGTTACCATAAATGGGCAATAAATTACCACAAATCATGCTTGAAAAAATATTAATAATACTAAATTGAAAATATTTAGATTTCACTACTTTACCTTAAATAATTACGATTACCGTCTATAATAATGATCAGTAGTAGTATTAGTAATATTACGTTTTTAATTATTTAACTTTACTAATATCATAATGTAATTATTAACTAATATTGTTTTAAGGTAATAGTTTTGTTATTTTTAGTAATATTTTAAGTAATAATAATAATAATAATAATAATAATAATAATAATAATAATAATAATAATAATAATAATAATACGGATTGTAAACTTAATTATTCCGTGTGGAAAAAATCACATATTATATCTTATTTTAAACATATGCATTTTTGAAATAATTAATGAACAATTGAGCGGGAGGATGCAGATTTTAGCAAAGTCTTGCTGTTAAACTAATTATTTAATTTAAGGCGTTTACCTTTAAATACGACAACAGGACGACAAGAGTGAACACAGCGACTACTTGGGTGTGCAAGCAGTAATCCAGCAGCCACAGGCTTTTTCATTCCTCCCCGCAGAGCTGCAGGTTCATGAAGCAGCTTCTACACTGAGACTGTAAAAAGGTGTGAAATTATTCCTCTGGACTCTTAAAATGTTGCTACAGTTTGTTCCCAGTGCAGGCTCATTAGGGAGGGGGTGTTACAAAAAGCAGAGGGGTGATGTAGAACAGTGTCGCCACCCTCTGGTGATTCGTGGGGATTGCAGCGTTGGGGAGGCAGCACTGCGCAGGCGTTGTTATTTTAATGCTGAATCCGATAGAATGCAGCAGATTAAGGAAAGGAGGATGTCACGGAGGTGACGTTTCGTTTATGTTGGGTATGATTTGGAGAAATGCTCCGGTGTTGCAACATACTCGTGTTTATAGACACAAGTCTCACTGCTGTGTCTGAAACTAGCTGTTCACTTTATTGCTACCTTTTCCTTTAGGAAGGCCCGGCAAAGGAGCAAGGGGCGGAAGGTTCCCAGGTAGAAACAAAGGATCCCTCCAAATGACCGTGAGTCCTGCGCGTCCCCGTCGAGGAGAATCCAATAAAACTGATCATTTCCGCTCGGACCTTTTGTCCAGACCACAGTCTCACAGAAAGAGAAGAAAAAAACAAATGGGTGCCATTCTGGAAGCGGCCTAATTGTGTCTGGACGGCCATAAAGCCATTAAAACTGGAATGCCAGACAGTATAGCAGACCAGGCGTTTTATTGCACTGTCTCTGGCCGAGTCTTTGAAGTTTGGGTCCATCTGCGTCCCCCCCCCCCCCCCAACGCGTCACAACAGCACTCCAGTTGTGGACTAAAGGACGACTTAGCCTCCAAGCAGCATAATCGATAGTTTCTGTACAGCCCCTTAATGAAAGCTGAATTACCTGCTCCTCCTGTCTTTGATCGATCAGGACACCATGCAACTGTAGCTCAGATCGGATTTGCTGGTCTCTTTGTGTCAAATATTTTCTCCAGCATGCAGAGACTTGAACCAGTCTTAACACTAAAATGAAGGGGCCATATTTTAAACTAGACCTACACCATTACTCCAAAGCCAGTTGGACAGTTTGACCTCAAAATGTGTGTGTGTGTGTGTGTGTGTGTGTGTGTGTGTGTGTGTGTGTGTGTGTGTGTGTGTGTGTGTGTGTGTGTGTGTGTTTAAACAAATTCCTAAATTTCCAAAATACATTTAAAAAGATGCGGGTTTTTCCTCTTCTTGTAAATTGTTTAGCGCCGTCTGTGATGGCTCATGACAGATTAGCCTAAGCGCCCTTGTCAAATCTGAGCTGAGGAGAAACACATCGGCTGTATTATTTTGGGCTTCAGCAGTCGAAGCCCACGGTGTCTTTTTTGTTTTGTGTCCTCTCGCCTCGCAGCGCTTTGCACCCCATAAAAGGTTATAGCGGTAATTGTCTTTTATGGCTGTATACAGCTAACAACATCCTCTGCCAAGATGCAGCTATGTCCCCAACACACACACACACACACACACAGTGTTCTAGGTGTGTTAGGTTTCACTGGTGTGTGTGTGGGTACACACTCTTTTTTTGGGTGGGGGGGGGGGGGGATTGTTTTTTGTTTTTTTTGCTTTTTACAAATTAAAAATATTTAAGCAAACAAAAAGCTCATTTTCACTAAGTATGCAATCATCCAAATATAACTGATTATCATTACTCTATTTTTTGTTTCTGTATTTTCACGTGTCATAACTTTTGGCAGCGCAAACCAGCGCCAGCTCAGGCTTTTTTGTTTGTTTGTTTTTGCGTACCAAGAATTCAGAATTTCAAATATTATGAAAGCATGAAATGCAGACTGGCGTGGGGGTGCAGTGAGATATGAATGTAAGATACTTGTAGTCGCAGATATAATTTGTTTTATTCAATAAATAAAGTACAAATTACATTTGTGAACCAAAAGTCAGACGGTCAGCACGACCGCGAGGTATTAAAAATGAGTAGCTAGCCTACAGTGTTTTCTTCCATTTGCACTCACTAACAAATATTACGCTCTTTGAAAATGACTCCCTGAAATTCAGTCACACGAATCCAGTAATGCAAACAAATCTATTACAATCCACCACTGCAAAACAAAGGTCAATGTAGGTATGTAGGTAGTTGAAAGACATAGGTAGTCAATCATGTTATGTAATACAACTTCTAGCCTATCATATATATACTGAAATTTCGTAAGAGTTCTCAGGAGGTTCCTTGTATTTATGCGCCTATTTTACTCTGTTTTTCCCTACAGTTTCTAACGTTAGATTCAAATTCAGTCAAAGGCTTATCCTAATAGTAAGAGAGAAACAACAATAAAATACTTTTTTTTTTTTACAAACTATACGCTCAGTTGGCTCTGAGACAGACAACAAATATAGCTACAATCCGGAACACAGAGAGCTAGAAACAGTCGTACACAAACAAGCACAGGGGCAAGGCCAACTAATACACTTTAACGAGGTATTAATTCAAAGCAGCACGAGAAAAGAACAAGTTAAAAAAAAACGAGGGTGCACTGTTAAAACTGTGCAATATAATGGTAGTTGCAAAAAACTAAAGCCCAACATGCTGTTTTTTTGTTTGTTTGTTTGTTTGTTTGTTTGTTTTTTACAAGACAAATAACCCTATAGCTGTTATTAAGAACAATATCACAATGTTGTTTAAAAACAGGGTCCAGCAGAGTTAAGAGCTCTTACACATCAAGCTCGCTATCAGTCTAATGCTGCTTTTGTCTAAGGTTCAGTCACTCGTCTTTCGGTGCGCCGTCTTTATTGAACTTCTTCATCTTCATCCTGCGGTTCTGAAACCAAATTTTAACCTGTCTTTCGGTGAGGTTTAGCAGCCTCGCCACCTCGTACCTACGGTCTCTGGTCAGGTAGGTGTTAAAGAGGAACTCTTTCTCCAGCTCCAGGATCTGGTGCTTGGTGTACGGACAGCGCTTTTTTCTTGTGGCACTCGCGTGGAGCCAGTTGGACACTGGGTTATCTGAAAAGAGTGGGGTGCGACACTGGTGTGAGGTCCTGAACTTCTGACTAACCAAATATATATATATATATATATATATATATATATATATATATATATATATATATATATATATATATATATATATAAAAATACAAATAAAGTAAAAGCGTAAAAGCGGATGTGCGCCTCTAAATTCTGCTATATCCACAGCTCTACAGCTCCCCGTCCATGTTTTGTCCCTTCTGCCTCCCTCTCTGCTCACGCTCACTTTAAAGGCTGCAAGAGGTTATCTAACACAGCAATGTGAGCTGGGCTATTAACAGCCCCCCATAAGGAAATGGCACGTTCAGAATGGCATCTGTTAGGACGCGCACCCCCATAAGGCACCCCAATCCTCACAGCTTCATGTTGTGCAAATGACATAAAAGACTCTGCTTTGACTTACTTGGATCCAGGCCCGGTTTCTCTTCCCCCTCTCCGCTCAAATCCCCTGCCTGGACGGAGAGTTCGTCCTTTTCCACCGGTGATGCTGACGCCACGGTGCCATTGGCGTATTCAGAGAGCAGCAGAGCCGTGTGGGATCCGGGCAGCCCTCCTTCAGCCCGCGCCCCCAGTCCCTCCGGTTTGATCCCGTAGTGATGGGTCGTCGGTAATCCGGTCAACGGCAGGGAACCGGACATGGGCTCCAGAAGCCAGGATTGATACCGGCCATCTGTATCTCCACCTACTGGGCCTTGGGGATGCCCGTAGTGGGGATGATACACAGAGGAGACGGTGGCTGGAAACTGAGCCGGGACGTGGCTCCAAGACGGCCCGAATACCTGGGGCTTGGATGGGAAGGTGCAAGTCCCGACCTCGCTGTGGTCGCTGATGGAGGCATGCTGCCTGGCGTGCTGGAGCCCAGGACCGGAGGTGTACCTCGGCACAGAGAGCTCCTCGCTCTCGGGGAGAATGAGGGAATCGACGTAGTAACTAGTGAGCGTTCCAGATGTCGACATGGCAGAAAAATTACACTTTCACATGTACACAGTCATACAGCGGATGCATGCAAAAGCGAGACGCGCACACACACCACACACACACACACATACACACGCAGTAAACCCAGCCTCACAAAATAACAATGTGGAGAAATCAAGTAGCAACTTCGCTCCACGGAGAACTACAGTGGGAAAGTAATGGGGAGACAGGCTGCCATGCCATTGGGTAGCAGACACACGTGATCATAAGGCTGAACAATAAAGGATAAATCAATCCCTACGGTCATTAAATACTCACCCTCTCTCCTATAACAACTTCGACTTTTTAAGAATTATCAAGATTTGAGCAGGAACCACTATGCGAGATGAAAAATATGAATGAATAAAATAAATGACACCGGGCTCCTTCTTATTGGCACTTGCTGCCGTTCCAATCCCCTCTCGGTTATCCAAAACGATACAAAATGTATTTGGAAGCCTTCTTTTACGAGACATTTTATAGGACACGTAAGCACCCTACGATCGCTGCTCACCAAAACGCATTTTAAACAGCACCACATCACAGAAACTTTGCAGCTCAATGATCTGAATAAGACTATCTAGTGAATTATGAATCGTTTTTTATAACACTTTATAACAGTTTTTCTCCCCTCACAGGCCATACGCTTTCCTCTGCAGGTTTTTCTTTGCTACAGCTTAAAGCATTAAATACATATCATAGGCGCAAAAAGCTAGCCAATAATGAAACATACTTAAGTCTATTATGAGGCTGAGTAGTTTTCAGTTAAACGTTGTATTCCTATGTGAGTTAAACCTTAAGCGCAGGCTACATGGAGAATTCTCGTATAGGGTTATTTTTCTACCACAATCAAGCTTCCTGCCTACGTCAGGTCACTGTACACGCTGTAACTAAGTCTCTGGCGCCTAATTAACCTCATTACAATACACGAAGTTTCCATGAAATGAACGCTTCTGCAGGAGTTTGAGTATTTTTTCTCAACAAAGCTATAGTGTTAAATTAACTATGTAAAACTACATCAATAAACGTGTCGTTATTTCTGGAGAATTGAAAGAATGTTTTGTTTTTCAATTTTTTTTTTTGTAAATTACATTTTTTTAAAAGAATAATAACAGGGTTTCTTATTTGAGCATTTTTAGTGGATTTATCAGTTACGCTGTAATAGAATTTAATAATATATTAATTTAATAATATATAAATAATATATATATTTGTTTCTTGACAAATATAAACATATCGTGCCGTGAAGCAGTGTGTGTGTGTGTGTGTGTGTGTGTGTGTGTGTGTGTGTGTGTGTGTGTGTGTGTGTGTGTGTGTGTGTTTTGGTTTTTAAGAAGAACAGCGAAAATAAAAATAAATTAAATGCATATTTTTTTGCTAATTTGAAATAATCCGCTGGATTCAAACACGCTGGCCAAAACTTTAGAAATTATAGAAGTGGTTAACTAATAAATAATATATGTAATTATTATTTTAAAAAATACCAGAGCCTCATTCTAACCCGTTTATTATTTACACCGCCGTTATCACTTAGTATACGCCTGTATCATCACTACCATCAACAAATTATCTGTAATACCAGCTAGGTGCCAGGGCGTCGGTGTAACGTTACTCTTATATGCAGCTAAGAATAAATGCAATGTGGTGTTTGTGGTTTCCCCCTTTTAAAAAGAAATGGCGCGGGGAATGTCCTGCACCAGGATACATTTAATATGCTGTATTTTCAGGTTTTTTCCCATACAGAGCTTAACACAGAATTTATTTGTGTTTTTAAAAACATGGTGCTGTAAGCCTAAGCTTGTCGTGTCCAGTAAATCCTAAATCTGCGAATTTAACTACTGCAGGTTTCAAAGTAGCAACCTTGAGTTTTCACATACTGCATGCCCGTTTTTTTTTTATTACCCGCAAATAAAGTGAGAGCTTGGCCAACTCCCCCACAAGGCCACAGACAATTCAACACGTAGAAATTATCTGCTCTCTGCTGATGCATCTAAAAGAGGAACACAAAAGAATGCACAAGGTGTCCATAATTTGCTTTCTAGATGCGGGCTATCACTTCGCTGGTACTTGCACAATATTTGGCTAGACATCAAACAAGCCGAAGGGGGAAAGGAGCGGCTGTGCGCCTATTTGTGCACTAAAAGTTCGAATAGACAAACACCTTCAGAGCAGGAAAAGACGGCACTATGCCAATGGCTCTAAGGCTGTAAACCTAAATCAGGGTGTTTTTTCACTCAGTTTACCGCAGGGGCTATTCACTTCTTTTGCCTCTGCAGATAACAGCCTGTCTGGCGGATCTAAATATCACCATAAAGCCCTTCCCCTCCTTTTGTCTGAGCCACTATTGCGCAGTGGAAGCATCCGGTCTCATTGCCCACGGAGGTCGCTGTTGCCCCATTCACCTTCCCCTTCCCCTCCACTGCAGTGGTCGTAACCGAGGCCTTGTCTGGCGTGTCTGCGTCACTACTACTCACGAAAAACACTCACGGCTTTACCCTTAATCCCAAGTCCACAATGTATAATGCAACTCAGCTTTGATCACGTTGATATTCAGCACACGTGCCCATTCAGACGTATTCTAGCAAGAGAAAGAAAGAAGAAGGAAAGCAAAGCAAGTGGAGGACTCCAAAGAAAGCACTACGGAAGACAGGTTGAGCTTGTACACAACAGCCAGCCACCCTTCCCTGATTTCCACATAGGAAGGTTTGTAACGTGTCACCAACACACCGCTCCCCACTTTTAAAAAAAGAAAATCTCACCCTCTTTATCACCCAGATTTGCTTCACTTTCGGTTTCGATGTATGTAACTGGGGCAATTAAGACAGTTTCATGTTGCAGAGTTAGAAATGGACCCCAACAACATGAAACTACCTAAACCACTCGACAGTCGATCCGGGCCTCGAGAGAAAGCACAGCCAGCCAGTTCATAATGCACCGTGGTCGTCGTTTCGGTCATCATGTGTTCAAAAAAATGTACTGAGAAAGCCACAACAGTGTTTGATGGGCTGTATGCACTCCAGTGAACCCGCTGCAACAAGGCGCAAAATGGACAAATTTACAGCAATGAATGAACTTACCGCGATCCTCGCGTTAATCCCAGTTATTCCCAGACTTGAGCAGAAATCGTGTTTTATCCACAGTGTGTTTGCATAGTTCAGTTTTCTAGCTGTGAGCCGGGCCTCCTCTCCGTCCGAAAGACTCTCTCACGACTGAAGCAGCTCTTAGAGGAGAGGGAGAAAGCTCATATACCAGCCAGTCATAAAACTCTACAATAGCCGGCTGGGTATGCAGCTAGACGGCTTATAGCCTAATATCTTAATTATTTCCGATGGCCAGTGCAGTAGTGCTTAGAAACAGTTTGTTGCTCAGCTGCTACAAACACACACACACACTCAAAAAAAAAATTAATAAAGAAGGAATATCAAGTGTAGGAGCCTCTGTTATTTTTGAACTTTACATTTTAAAGGCTTATTTCCCCCTCCAGCCTCTCTCTGTCCCTGTTTCCTTCTATAGAAAAACATACACGAACACAGAAAAAATTCAAACGGCTTCGGTTCAGTGCGAGCTGATAATTTATTAAGCATTACACAAAAAACACATTGTCATATGTACACAGAAATATACAAAAAGGAACATTCCTCCTTCACTTTGCAAACTGTTTTCGTGTAAACGCCCTCAACGCGAACGGAGTTCCAATTTATACATTCAGCTCATACATAGTTTAGACTTATAGTACTACATTTAATGGTCACAGGGTGAAGGATTTTTTTTGTCATTTCTCCCTGGTTATATAAGGGCATTATATTCCAGATTGGTTTAAATTTGCTTCGAAAAAATAAAAATATATAAAATAAAAACTTCTTATCATGCAGTTTGAAAATTAAATATTTTTTCAAAATTATTTCTAAAAATTTAGATGAAAAAGATGATTTGCCCCGTCACTTTCCAGGGCGCAGGTCCATGTGTGTGTGCATGTATGCGTGCGTGTGTGTGTGTGGGGGGGGGGGGGGGGGGGGGTGTTCACTGCACTGATTTAACTGCACTGAGGACACTACCCAAACATACGACGGAGGTGTTGGATCAACAATATAAAAAGAAAATATAAAAAGAAAAACACAATCAGGGGTAAAAACAGAGTCAAAAACATTCAGATGATCCTTTTTTCCTTTTTCTCAGTAGCTCACAGAGGACGTTTCATTGACATTAAGCGTGTTTGGAAATTAAAGGACGCTGCACCCCACGGTAAAACGAGTCTTTGTGTGGACAAGGAGGTGTGGGGTGGCGAATGTAATTTATTTCACCTATATATCTTGTTTTTACATTTTATTTTACTTCTCCTGTGTCATCGTGATTCTCTCGTTCATCACGAAAATCCATAGTTGGAGGTGAGTTCCCGGATCCTGTTTTCCCTCGTCATTTTCTTCAGCTTCATCCTGCGGTTCTGGAACCAGATTTTGACCTGTCTGTCCGTCAGGTGGACGCTTTTACTGATCTCTAGGCGGCGCTCTCGGGTCAGGTACATGTTGAAGAGGAATTCCTTCTCCAGCTCTAGTGTCTGGTGCTTGGTGTATGGACAACGTTTCTTACGGCCGCTTTTTGCTGTCAGCCAGTTGGCCGTGCTTTCACTTTTTGTGTCTCCTAAAGAAAATGGTAAATAAACGGGTTTACGCACTGTAAACATGAGAAACTCCACTGTGTGTAAGAGAGAAAGGCAGACAAAGAGCATAGTTTTTTTTAATCTATATGTTTGCATTGCGCTCATATTAAAACAACAGGCAACACTTTACCTTAAATTCCCTATATTTGGTAAGCAGTGCATTTAATAAATGTTTTATGACGTGTTAAAATGTGGATGTAAGAGTTTACTGATGAACTGCATTTGAAAACTTGACATTATCTAAATAGATAATGAGTGACCTTATAATAAAACACGTGGAGAGTAAAACAGACTTAACATTAGCTGCATATTAACAGAGTATAAGAGTGTTATAAACCAAGTCATAAATGTTTCTGATTATAAGTACGAAATGAAAGGATTACTCTGTGTGTGTGTGTGTGTGTGTGTGTGTGTGTGTGTGTGTGTGTGTGTGTGTGTGTGTGTGTGTGTGTGTGTGTGTGTGTGTGTGTGTGTGTGTGTGTTTGATGCGGAAAGTATAGTTTCTTTGTTAGATTCATCAGACTTGCAGTTGACATTATAGCAACATATGCAAAATTTTCCGCCAATCGTAAACAGGGACACAAACATTATGCTGCTATCATAGATGGATGCAAATTACAGAAACGTTATAGCACTGGAAAAACATAAAAGCCTAAATAATAAATTTAGGCCCTTTTTTATGCAGCAGCCAACAACAAAAAAACAACACTGGATAAAGCTGCAGGTATTTAACGTGCATCGTATAATAAGTACTTCATTTCATATTACTCTGTAGGTTTGTATTATTAAATTTGTTGTGCTTGTTTAACGACAATAAAGAGTTTCATGTCACTCTGTAGGTTTGTATAATCAGGCAAAATTAAATTTGCCTTCATAATCACTGCTTCTCTCTTTTAATTTTACGCAGTACAATTTCTGTCTATTCATGAAAAAATGCACGCTTATTTAAGGTCGTTCCTCCCGCAGAATCTTGTCTTTATAGCATAAGAAACAACGAGATATGCAAAAGCAGTGTTTACAGACCTGTGTCTTCACTTTCACCTCACCCTGACCAGTAAAATAAAACTTGACAGGTGTCATTAAAAAGCCCCACTCTAACTGAACGCTAACAAAACAAAAGTGCGCAGACGAACCGTGACATTACCTTTATTAGACTGTACTGCTCTCTCTTTGTCGTTCTCCTCTGTTTCTTCAGCTGACGAGGCGTCTCCATCCGAGGAGTCGCGTGCCTCCTCGGTCCCAGTCGCAGCGTGAGGCTGCAGGTCTGCGTTTCCCGAGGACACGGGCCCCTCGGTGTTCCTCCCCTCCTGTGCCGTGGCTGGAGCAGAAGTCGAGGTTGGAGGTGTGTGGAAGCGAGCTGGAGCAGTGGGGTGTAGGCCAAAATGGGAATGGGAAGGGTTCGACTGGGGGCCGCTGGAGTTGTAAAGTTTATGAGAATGTGCGTGCGTCTGAGACAAGCGGAAGTAGCCCGGCACAGGCACTGAGCCCCCGCCGCCGCCATCGGTAACTGTACAAGAACTCGACCCTTGGCCGGCTCCAGTTAACCTTGAATATGTGAGATCTTCTGCGGTGGAGGCTTTAGGACACTTCGCCTGCTCGTACAGGCAGTAGGTGCTCTCTTCCTTTATATTTTGCGGGAACGAGCAGGGCGCGACCTGAGGACCTACCGGGTGATCTTGGTCCATCCGACATGACCTCTGTGCGTCCATCCACATTTCCATGGTGGACATGTAAGCGCCCGAGGCGGAAACCACGTTTTGTGGACCCACCTCGCTCCGCTTACCCATACCTGGGAAGTATCCATAGTTGTGTAGTCCGTAAGGCACTTCTGTGGCAGTGCTGTGAGGCACGCACAGTGCGCTCCCGGTGTAGTGACCTCCGCCGCTCTCATTGCGGCCACTGATCAGAGAATCCACTAGAAACGCATTTCCTGACGGGCTGTCCGAACATGACATTATTGTGGTGTATTTTGGCGAAGAGAGAAGGTAGCCCTTTCTGGCTGACATTTCTTGTGCAAAACATGCTGGATATGATTAGAGGCACCCCCTCTCCGCCGAGCAGACTGTGAAACCAATGGAAAAGCTGGAAGATGGTCAGTCCCTCCCACTCTGGGGCTACGTAACGATATCCATCTTGGAGCTGAGGCAGAGAAAGAAGACAGCACAGCAATCAGTGCCTCACCTCTCCTTATGCGCTACCTTGAAGTGACGAGGTGCAACACGATTCAGAAGTTTTAAAACATCTGTCTTTGAATTGTGTAATTCGTGCATGTGTTCTTTAGAAAAGCTTTGGAAGCATTATTTCCATTGCACAAGTACACAAAGGCCTGAAGCACTGACTTCCACTTTCCAACAAATGCAATGCAAATCAAATGTTAGCACAACGCTTAGCTATACAGGACAGTAGGACGTACTATATGTATAACCTGCCAAGCCCCTGAACGATAAAAGTGATGTAAGTGGGAAAATATAAGCAAATAATATAATTTATTATACAATTTCGCTTTAAGCCGGTGTGGCTTTAAGGTGTCAGATCAATTTAAAACGTGTGAGCCTTCTGAAACCCATCAACAAAGACACAAGACAAAGCTTAACGGTAATAAAGTCTTTTTGACTGTAGGGAGAATGCGCCTTTGGCAAAATGTCTTGTTTTATGTTGTCCATCCTGCAGCCCAAAGCAAGTCTGAGCTCCTCTGCAATAAAAACAGAAGTGTTTGGAATATTGTTGCCTACAGATATAGTGATTGCTATCAAACATGCGGAAGATAATGCCTCTGAAAAGTTCATATTTTCATTTTAGTCCGGATCGTTTAGTTGTACTGTTCTAAGTCACTTTGTACATGTTTGTAGCAAAATCACTTTTCACTTGAGAGTTTGGGCAAATATTAAATTCTTGGAAAATTCGCGAAGATTAACAAAGCAGTGCTGCGTGACAAAGAAAACACATTGTCGATGGGTCTGAACGCAACTGAAGAATGCACAAATACATAGAAAAATAATTAAAATAATTAAATCATTTAAAAACCAAATTTCTAAAATTCCCTGTCATTCTACTTTCCATCCAACAAAGCCTCTGAAGGCACTTTCTTAATTTTATATAAATCCTGTGTCCATATAATTTTAAATTTTACACTAAGAACATGAACACATGTTTTTTCAATCTATCAATTTCAAATTAGACAACGCAATAACTATGCTCTTTGTCTGTTTTTTTTTTTCCAAAAACGCAAAATATAGAATGTATTTAATTGTATCCAAGCAATCATTACGGGCAACATGTAAAAAGGTCAAGCCTGCGTGTGCTTTTGCTCAAACGCTACAAATGATATCACCATGCAGCACTACGCTGTTTGGATTCCTTTCTTACAAACATTCAAAAAAAAAAACCTCAAAGCGGACTTCAATACGCAAATTTACATTCGTTAATCTGCCAAAATATTGATCACGTTGTTGTGAGGGAAAAGTCCCTTTGCGCCACAGTAAAGCCGACATAAAGCTTCCACATTCACAAGCCATCCAGTTTGTCCAATTTGGGGCAATAAGGTCCACAATAAAACTCTCCTTCCATCTTGTCGTGTCCTTGGCCATGTGCACTCCATTGCTCTGTCTCCAGGTTGAAGTTAATCTTGGCCAGCTTTGCCATTACCAGGCCCAGGTGGCCCTTACACCCCCCCCCCCCAGTTTGTTTTGCAAAAAAATAAAAAAAACAGAGAGAAAGAAAGAAAGAAAGAAAGAAAAAAAAAGAGGAAATTCGGGAGTTATTCATAAATTGAGCCCATTTAGGTTTTCTGTCATTTATATGTACACTGACTTGGAGTTTTACCGAGTCACGGCGGACGTTTGTCAATCGCTGCTGCTCAGTGCGAGCATACTTCAAATTACTTAAATGACTGAGGCTGGATGCGGGTTATTTATGCGCATGAGAATATAATGCAATGGCCAATTTGAGAAGAAAATGATCTATTATGGAATTGTATTTTTTTAAAAGGCGTTTTGAGATTTCAGAATAAAGGCCGTGAGCGGCCGGAGCGTTTGTGTCCGTTTGTAAAATTTCCCCCAAAACATAAAATGAACCACAACACTGTTAGCCCAGTGACACAGATAAACGAACAACAATAGGTTTAAAATCATGTGCGCTTGTCCCCACAGTGGCCTGTTGCACGTGGGACACATGAGCCAACAGGGAAACCAAATACCTCAATTAATTATGTGTGCCTGGTATTAAAGTGTTTTGGCCCGCACACTTCATGATGTTGTAGTGGCATGGGGGCCTATCGATACCGTTGTGTTGCAGTTATTAATTGTAGCTATTAAATCTTCATTTTCACAGCTGCCCGGCTATTATATCCTGAACACAGTTTAGTCTGACCACTGGCTTTGATCAGGCCCATATAATCGTGGCCGAAGAGGCCGTTTGAATCGTATCATGTTCGTCCCGAGTGCAGTTATGAACAATAACGCGGCGTTTTATTACGTCCAAGCGGAAGCATTTATTTTTCACGAGAGACAAAGGAGAGAGAGAGAGAGAGAGAGAGAAAAGAGACTGGGTCCACACGCATTAGGGTTTAGAATAGCCACTCGCCACTTGGACTGATACAGAATAGCCTCAAACCTCAGCCCTATAGTGTCTGTTACAGGAAGGAAAAGGAGACGCGATTGCTGCCCTATCGCAATCAAATCGACCTTTTTAATCACAGCTTTGGCACGTAGACAGGGAATTGTGTGTTTTGGAACGACGTCAAATGATTTTAATGGATTCCTTTAAGAGGAAGAGCACGGAGAAGAATGATCACAGAGGCGACTACTGTGATTTAAGATGAGCTGCATTAGTATGTGAAAAATAAAACCGTTTGTTTTCCTTCCAGCACCCACTGCCTAGTTTGTGTCATTAACGTACGAGCTGTGTCCACCTTTGTCTAATAATTAAGGCAGAGTTTCCCGAAATACAAAACATTTGTGGTTAGACTTGGGAGGGGTTGCAGATCTCTCCAGGTACAAGGCGGCTATGCTACACTCCAACCATTAAAAAGCTCTAGCCCAGCAAAATGAATAGCACATGCAGCATGAAGCCTTGGCACAGATGTGCTGCCTTATTAGGGCCCCCAGGAAGACTTTCTCTAGCGCGTAAGCCTTTGGGCACCAGAGGAAAAATGTGGAAACTAAACTAAAAAAAAAAAGAGGCTCTTATCTCGGACTAACAGGGCTTGCATGCAAGGCAAGAATTCAAGCAATGAACAATTGGGGTTTTTTTAGTGCAGAGCAAAACTATTCAAGGTCCAGGCTTCCCGGGCGACTTTTACCTGTTTGCTTTTAAGGTGAGTTTGGAGATCAAAAGATCCAGGGCCGTGACATTGGTCCCAATAGCGCCGCCCGGTGGTAGGAGAGTCCAATCCCAAGTGCAGCCTTTTCCTCAGGAATGATTTGAAGTGGATAAACCACGCTACAGGGAAAAGCCTCTCAAATGAAGCCGGTGCAGCGAGCGAGCAGAAGCTTTTCCTATCCGTCCTCTGCCTGTCGTTGCTGTCGCCTCCTTGGTAACACAGTTAATAACCTTGGGTCTCAGACGGTTTATTGCACTGCACTCCAATTGTACAAATGCTCCAGACTCTCAGACAGCTTTTATGGCCGCGTTGCTGCGGCAACGGGGAGGATGTCCCGTAATTAGGGACGGAATTCCAGCGCGCAGTAAAGGATGCGCAAGGCAAGGCCGGACTATGGCAGCGAGAGGCAACCATAAACTTCAGCCTCTCTCCCTGAGTTTATGGCCCTTTTGACTGTCATATATGAACGCCAATGCGCTGCGGCTAGCTCCCATAAACACAGCGATAACAACAGCAAATATGGCGACCCTCGCCAAAGGAGACTCCAGTTGGAGAGGGTTTCCAAAGCCAATCAGCAAAATGACAGTTTGCGCACACGGACAGACACAAGCAGAGAGAAAAGATTCGAGAATAAAGTACACATGGTGCAATATGCTGGCAACAATAAATATGACTGTGACAGATAAAAGGTGACCTATAAGCTATCTGCAAAGATTCAGTAACAATGATTTCCTTTAGATGGAATGCAAGAATTGCAAAATATGTTATATAACTCAAAATACAGCAAGGGAGACTGAAAAATGTTTGGAGAGCACAGCAGCACAAACATAATTTAAGTATCGATTCAGGTTTATTATTGTTTTTATATTTGTATATTTGTGTTACCTATCTAAGCACACAGCTGGCAAAGACTCTGAATTGTTGGGTATTTATTTAATGATTTATTGATTTTGCTTCATTCACACAGGAGGAGTTTAATCTGCAGTAGTGTGGTAGAGAGTGCGACTGTTTGGTTAATATTTCGTATTTCAGCCTTTAAATTCACTGAAAGTCATTGTTTCCGTTGTTTTGTTTCATACCTGTAGGTAGCTCACTGTGATTGCGCTGTAAGTGTGAGATATATACATATATACATACATATATATATATACATATATACATACACACACACATTGAAAAAGCAAAGTCACTGACAAAATACAAGTCAAGTTGATTTTCGGTAATATTCCACTTTTTATTATTTGGAAATATAATGATATAATGATGATACACAATATTTCGGGCAGACCAAGCAGTTAAATTCAGTGTGATCATCCTGGCCAGCCTCGCCCTGACGGTAAAAATTAAGATTAAAAATTTATCTTTTTAATCTTCATCTTTCTTTTTCTCTTCTTTTTTTCTGTTTTATTTAAACGACAATTGTCAAGATTCAAGAATCGTGAACTGAAAATCTTGTTTAAAACGAAGGGGCCCACCGCGTAAGGTTACCTGTTGTGAACATCTCGGGGCGTGTACCTCAGTGCAAATCCACACGGACCCATCGACCTGGATTATTAATACTGGATTGATAAAATCAAAAGAGACATCTTAGAATTGATTTGGAAATTGAAAGATACGCAAAATACAAAGTTAGTCTGCTAATCCTTGGTTTGCAGGGCACAGAAAATACGACAAAAGCTCGTTTTGAGGTCAGCTCAGACTACAACATGGGATCCCAGTAGTCAGCGTGTATTAACCGATTTTAGCTTGGATAGCCGTGGCATCAAAGTAAGATGGTAAACGAGAGGCTACAAAATAAATAAGCACACAAAACAAGAAAAAACCCACATCATTGTCATCCGTCGGATTCATTATTTGGTCACACCAATATAGATTCGGTTGGCAAGATATTCACCATCAGCCTAAATCCACAAGTTTTCTAATTTGAAAAACAGGAGAAAAAAATCAGATCTTTTGAATACAAAATACACTAGATCAGTCAATTCATTACGTCTTTTTTTCTTTTCTTTTTTTTTTCTCGCGCGAAAGGAAAATGAAGCGTCTTAGGTCACATTATGAACAAGGCCTTCGCAAACACAGTCTTGGCGATGTCAAAAAATCTACATTTTCAAAAGTGAGACAATGAGGAGCGAAATCAAAGTCCGCGGACCGCCTCTGTTCGTACTCCCTCTTTGTTTGAGTATTGCAGATCACAAGATACTGTTGTCCTCGAACTTGAAATTAACCATCGAGCAGTGCTGCTGCTGCTGCTGCGGCCAATGTGGTACACAATGTACACGGGGAGAGACACAGCCAGGCGAGTCAGTCAGTCTGTAAACGTAACCAGTCCCACAAGCAGAGGACTAATGGAGCTGTGGCCGTCTTCTCCCCGACCCCCCTAAAGCAGAGGATTGGACGTATAATATTGTAATCTGTCTCTGTTTAGTTTCTTCTCCTTCATGCGACGGTTCTGAAACCAGATCTTTACTTGTCGGTCGGTCAGGTTGAGCATCCGAGACAGTTGCAGCCGCTTCTCCTTGTTTATGTACACACTGAAAAAGAATTCTCTTTCAAGTTCTCTGATTTGATATTTGGAATAAGGGCATCTTTTCTTCCGGGTCCTCTGTCCACCTGAAAGCCACAAAAATAGAAGAGGGAGAAGAAGAAATACAGGCGTCACAGAAAATCTAAACACTTCAAATTAGCCGTGACTATTTTACAGAAAGAGATTTATACGGGTGGGATGTCGCCCAGATTACGCATGAGAGGATTTCCTGAACATGAAGCATTAATAACATATTTCCCATTTCAACCTTTCAAGTGTCATATATACTGATATTATATTACACTGGAAAGATTACCAAGCCATTCGCTGCTGGCTCGCTAGACAATACACTTGGGCTTTGACCTTTACTAGCAAGTGAAAACAACAAGTTCACTTTAAAGTAGACGCCTCTGGTAGACGCAGGTAAATGAGACTCTGCTGCATTGAGTTTTACGTGAAAGCTTTTTTGGTTTGTTTGTTTTTTGTTTTTTACAGAGCAAATAAAGGGGAAATGTACAAGTAGGAACAGCAGCTCCATGCTAGCTTTAACATAAGACCTCGTGTGTGCTAAACCTTAAACTAAAGGCACCACCCTCAATTACATGCAAGGGGTCTTTTTAACGCTAAGAACCCGTGAAACAAGCACGGTCATAATAAGTGGATATAATCAACGCGGATCTGTATAGCAACTCATTGCTGGGCATTACTGGGTATATATATATATATTGGTAATATATTATATATATTATATATATATTATATATATTGGTAAACATCGGGGAGTTTTACAGAAAAATATCCGCCTTGGTGTCTTTCACGGCCAATTTCAACTCCAAACACGTGATCCTGCCGTTTATAACAAAGTTTTGTTGGGGGGTGGGAAGGGGGTGGGGGGTCTGCAGGCCCTCTATAAACCTTATATGCTTATAAAACAGCATATAAAATTTTTAACAGCGGCGCGCAAGATTGCAAACTTTCTCTCATAACCGAGGCGCTGACTTTAATACGTACTGCTGCCGCCGGTTTTCTCCTCATTGTTGCCGGAAGACAACTCCGGGCTGCTCGTTTCATCCCGCTGCTCCTTCGACTCGCTGTCCGGGCACGATGGCGCTTCCTCCTGCACGGAGCCGGGAGGCTTGGTCGCCGTTTTGTCCCCTGAGTAGCCATTCGCGGAGGAGCTCTCCGACGCGTTCCCGTACGCCGTCTCGTAAAACTGGTCGAAAGCTTGCGGCAGCACTCCATTTCTGCCCACATTCCCATAGAAATTGGTAGCAGCGGAGCCAGCACTCGCGTGGTGGTGGTGGTGGTGGTATGCGGCAGCGGCGGCTGCTGGGCTGCTTTTACCGAACATGTCCCCTACGACGGCGGATTGAGCTGACAGGCAGTCCCGGTGTACCATGTCCTCCGCGCTGGGGTAGCACTGAGGCAAGTTCCCCCGGTGCGGCCATTTACCGGATGCATCAATGGCTGCATAGTCCCTGAATGTCACTTCTCTGACGGGTTGAACCTGCGGGAGGTTAGAGGAGTAGGAGTATGTCATGGGGCGGGTGGACGGGGTCTGGGACAAAAACGATGGAAGACCGGAGAAATCAGCGCCCGCCGACACATAATACGTGCAGCTGGGCAGATACATGTTCGATCCGACGGGGACCCTTTCGTCAAAATCCATCATCGTATTCACCCACTTCTACAACTCTCTGCTGGGCTACGATTCCTCTATAACCGCCCTGAACATGGCTCTGAAGCGCCGTGCCTCTTGCCTCTTTGAAGCAGGTTCGCTAAGCAGAAATTGGGAGACGTAGGCTGACGTGGAGAGTCATCTCCATCCACTCCACGGAGGAGGAGGTCACGTGACCGACCACACGGCAGAAATTGACAGATTTTCAGGCCCCACTTGTGTGTGCGTGCAGTGTGTGCGCGCGTATAGTGTGTGAGCGCGCGCCACGTCGCGCGTGCGCTTGCAGGAAAGAGTGTGTGCGTGTAGGAGTGTAAGAGACATGACTGCTGTGTGTCCTAAAGCTTGACATTGGTGCTTTTATCGCCATGTTTGCTTAAAAATAAATTCCTTAACATGCAACCGTGTCAGGCGAATGATGAACCATAAATGGATGCTGCCTGTTGCAGTCAAAGTTTTATGCAGTCTATTTACACCTCAGATGCTGAAATCACTTTTCAGTCTTTCGGGGGGAAATGTGCATGAAGACTTGTTTAATAGCAAAATGAAAAAAAAAAGAAGGATCATGAACACTACATTGTCCAAACTATCTAATATGAACTATATAACTCGAACAACACATTATCAGAGGAAGAAAACAGCTTATTTGTAAAGTCCGCTTTTAGAAATGTCTGAGTGGTCATCATTAGGTGGCTTTTACGGCACAGCATTTGGCTGAGTGGGCATTTGGTTATCAGGGTCATGTTCAAAGTAGCGGCTAATGTTTCAGCTGGCCACAGCCTTGTCTTAGAACCATTATAAGACCAAACTGGAATTTTGACAGGATAAATTCAAAACGTCTTTAAAATAGGTAGCTCGAGGAACAGTTTCTAACTTCAAGACATAAAACACACAGTGTGTGTACAAAACCTTGTGCCATTAATGGATTATCAAATAATAATATTAAGACGTTTACTTGAAATTATTGTGATAGTTAATACGTACCCTCAACATTAGAAGAAACTGACAGATATTCCGCAAGCAACAGCGATCAATTGTTGAGAAAAATACTCATCAGCTGAAAGGTACAGTCTGTTGCCTAAATATAGAATGCTTCAATGTCCATATTTAATTAGCTTGTTGCTGAATAACAACATTGTTCCATTTTTAACGGGTTTCGCCTCGCTCTTCTGCTTTGCTTCAAGTTAACAATTTTATGCATCTGCTGGCAGCTTTTAAAGTTGCAACAGTCAAGCTTGCTCCACTTTTACGCATGGCGATCTCGCAGCATTTTGGTCCAAATATGTATCCAAATGTTCACTGTTAAGCAAGAAGACGGCGTCCAGAAATTTACATGACATTTAGATATCATTATGTACTGACAAATAATAACTTCCACCAGTTCCGTGATATTTTTACTCAGATGAACAACGAAAAACATTTACGTAAATCTCACCACCGTGTAAAATCGTTTCTAAACACATATTAATGGATTATTTTAAAATAACAGCGCTGTCAGTATTTTTACAATTATAGCTCGGAACATGTTAGCAACTAATGTACTCTATGAATATTTTTAAGTATTGGATGTAGATAATCCAAATGGTTAAGATTGTCATATGGTCATATGGAGTCTATTCCTCACAGAAACTAAAGTAAAACAAGATAAGAGATGTGTTGAATCCTGTGAAATAAATTTCTGCTATTTGAATTGGGGAAACACGCCACAGTGCACATTCCCCGGCTCCCTGCTCTGAGGCCACCGTGGAGCTTGTTTTGGAGAGGCTGCAACTTGACTCTAATGTGCTGTGAATGAGAGACCTGAGCTCGGATTAAGACCGCCGCGGCTGGTCTGCCCCCACTGCCCAATGTGCATATAGGGATTCGAGGGGCTCTTGATGGCACATGTGAAACATGACCTTGAAATATCATACATACTAATAATACTGTGCGAGAACCAACTAATACTAGAACCCAGCGATTGTGTCAAAAAGAAAAACGGAAAAAACCTGATATGAATCGTTCCAGACCCTTACAGGCAGTTTAATGTGGATAAATTGCAGGGACACAAACAACTCGAGTGTCTTTGCGGTCACACGCTCCGCCTCTCGGTCAATCCAGACAAATTCTAAGAGTTGTGCCGAAGCTTTTAAGCTGTAATTGAGGACAGGATGCCCAGGAAAACCAAAGCCAGCACTGCACAGACCTGGGTTTTTATAGCTGCTATAGTATTCTTGTGCGCCTTTCCCCTCAAGCCAGACAGACACCACAAAATCGGTCAAGCGTGATAGGAAGTCACCACCTACACTGACTCAAAGTCAGCAGCTGAATTTCAGCAACATAGAAACATGTGTCTGTACACAGCTAAGGTAAGAGTTCTCCTTTGAATAAATCGGTATTTCTCTAAGAAATGTCTAGAAATATTACAATTTTTGTTAATTTTAACAAAGACAGTGATCATAAAACAGTTGATACAAGTGAGCTGAGAGCCAGATTTATGTCAAATGTGCTTTCGTTAAAGGAAGTCGTTCTGTGGATCCTCAGTCCGCCTTTCGTGTGTTGTTTTTGGTCAGAAAAAAAACTGCCGTCTGGCGCTGCGTAAAAGCTCTCAAAGCCAAAGCTTTGTCTCTTCGGTCGACTTCAAGTTCGGGGAGAGAGGGGGTCCTTCACAAAGAGCAAAGGGCTCCATTTGCCCCGGATGGAGTTCCATTTAATTGCCTTTGCATCCACTCATGCCTTGAGTCGCAAGATTGCCTGATAACGTGAATTTATAATTGCAAGCAGCTAATAGTATGTCTGTTATTAGAGTTGTGGGCCCTAACCGTCTGCTGTGGTTTTTATCCAAATTATTAATAGAAGAGAAAACAACACACTCCTTGTGTGACTTCGTGCTCAAAGCGACCCCTTAGAGTTCAGCTTTGTCTTGTGCCTAGTATCCACAGTCAGCATCTAGCTGATAAGTTTTATGATAATAATAATAACAATAATAGTAATAATAAAGGGGGTTGGGGTATAAGACATAACCACGCGAGACTATTCAATAGATTTGACACCAAGACAGACAAATAAGTGACTTTACTCAAGGGCACTCGTTTTTATGACCTTAAAGTTTCCTTGTTGTGTTTTCTTTAACGCACACAGCACGCATAAACACACATTGGATTTGCTTTTTTAGAACAAACACGCAATTAAAGAAAATTGTGCATAAAATAGCAACACTTCAAAATAAGAGTCCTTGGTTTGGCATAGTGGCATAGTTTGGCATTGTTTTTCCGTTTTTTTCTTTTTTTGTAGTCAGGACGAGAATGCGACGTGTAGATTGCCCAATCCTTGTGCCATAAAACCTTGTCAGACAACAAGTAAACAATCAAGTGTGGGGAGGATCTGAAAGTACAGTTTAACGCCCTGTCAGGTAGGCCCTATAGGCCGTAAAGGGGGCTAAATAGGAGTATTCAATCTCCTGCAGTGAAACCTCCTGTAGTTTCAGTCTTCAAGGAAAAGAAAAAGCTCAGAGCTTTACTACAGGCTGTTTTTTGTTTTCATTCTGTGGCTGAGAAATAGGCCACCACACCTGCACCTCAGAGGATCTATTGACTAGATTCTTCATCTCAAAATCTTCCTTAGTCTAAACAAATACACAAACAGTCGACCAACACAAAAAGAACACAGGTGTTTGATTGTGCCTTTTAATGAGCGTGTTCCTATATTTTCAATAAAACACAATTTTACTAAACACTTTGCTTTATTGCGCATAAACCAGCCGGGAACTGCACTACCAAAATAGCCAACAGATTAGCCTAGAGTAGACTAATCATGGCTTCCTTTATTTCTGTTTCGCCAAAGCAGTTCTTCAAACTGCAAATTCGTCTGCTTGTGTGTCCTAAAAAATCGCACTACATTAATATATAAAGTGTTTTTGAACTTGAATTGTACATGGGCTTGCTCAGCCGCCACCATCTTACTGGGGGATTATAAAACCATCAGACTGAAACATGAAACAATCAGAGCTCGCACTTGGTTGCGTACAAACGAACGAGCTGGAATATATCAGCAAACGTGAACCTGATTAAGCGAACATCTGTTGATTTATCCACAGGTGACAGAAACGAGGGCGATGACAGAGAGGCCTGGCGGACCACACAAGGGCTCCAAGGCGAAACTGACCAACTCCACGGTCAACGGGAGCGCCTCCGGCTAGTCAGGGGAGAATCACAAGGCTGGATTAGCCTGCAGAGGGTGTCATGAGAAACAAGGCGCCAGGAGGAGCGGGACTGGACAAAAGGACATAAAGTGGTGTGGGGAATAAAAGAATATTTACAAAGAGGTCATTTGAAAGAATAACAAGGAATACGAGAAAGAACCAAGACGCGAGTAAAGCGAAATTAAAGGATTTCATCTTCATTAATAAAAATAAAACTCCTCACAAAGTACAAAATAGAATAATGAAATAGAAAATTCATTTTTTTTAACATAAAAAGCGTTCGGCAAATAAACCCAGAAACTGTGAGTATTCTTAGAAGATCTTAGTTATTTTATTTCTTATAGGTAACCAGTTGGATTTCAGTCCTCTAATAAATAAAACTAGAAGCCTACATGCGCCAGATCTTTGGTTGAGTTCCAGTGTTTAGTTGCGATCTCCCACAACATGAAAAAAACGATCGCTTTGAAAGGACATTTGATAAAATTACACGACCATGCGACGTTTAGTTTTACTTAAACGAGGAGAGAGAAAAAATCTGTTTGGGGTCTTAAAACAGGCGCAGTGTGCGTCAAATAACGCAAATCCCGACCTGCGTTTCTTTCTTTCTTTCTTACTAAAAAGTCACATTTTTACACCACATTAACCTTCAGTATTTTCCTTTTCTGTTGTATATTTTTTCAGCTTGCTCGGCGCTGAAATGATCTTCTCAAGATGTTGACATCTTGCGGACGCAACGCCGAGTTTCTTGCTTTTTTTCTTTTTTCTTTTTTCTTTTTTCTTTTTTCTTTTTTCTTTTTTTTCTTTTCTTTTCTTTCTTTTTTCTTTTGTTTAATTGCTGAATCTAAGCTCAAATAATAATGGGCGACTTCAAAAATTCTACTTTCGTTCACAAATATAAATGGCCCTCATGGTTACCAAATCATCGTGAAATAACGGATTATACTTTAAACTGTCAAGTGGATTTTAATTCTTTTTTTTTTTCTTTACGTGGATTCACAAACAAATGTGAAACTC